GGTGGGTGGGGGGAAGTCCCCTTTCCCATTAACTGTGTATTTTGTACATGAGAGATTTCTTGCTGATTTTTGCAATCGATATACATGGGATTGTGGCCTGTTTGACAGTCATTCTATGTATTTGCCCAAACAGCTCATTATTTTGTGGGTCCTCTATGACAATTAAGAGCTGGCCATCCACTTAGTTTAAAAAAAGCAGATTAATTTGGACTTCTGCCCTGAACTCACTTCTCTTGGCCTTCCTCAAGTCCATCCTGCCCCATTTGGTATCCTGCAGGGTTTTTTCCCCTCTGGCTATTATTCCCCCAATGGCCAGGCCATCTGAGTTGATGGGGACTCTATTTCCAAACATCTGGAAAGCTTCTTGTTGGGCAAAGCTATCAGAAGGATAGGATGTAAGGCAACTGGCATATGTGTGTTGGCATTTAGAGATAATTAAGCAATGAAGGTGTCCTTTGGGCATTATCAAGTATTTTCAATCTCAGCCAAACCTAGGATGACCTACCTTCCTCCAAGTTCAGTCCTCCTGAAGCAATTAACAGTTGCCCTGTTTCCGCAGTGCTAGGGCCGTAGCACCAAATAACCACTTTTACTACTGTCAACTGTAGCTGATGCTTTCGTGCAGGATCCCTTGTCCTTAGCCAAGATGAAGCTTTTCTTTGTTAACAAGGTGGCTTCCGACTCAACCGCCATTTGCTAACAAATTGACAAGGGCATGCGGCACGAAAGTAGAAGTGTTCCAACACTTGGTTGGGTGGTGTGCAGAAAGACGGGATTTTTCAGATCAAGAAGGCAGGGTAGAGTTGTGACCCTGAAAAACAAAACAAAACAGATTTTGACCTCTGCTAAGGGGAAAACCAAACACCGAAAAGCCCTCTCAAACCAGGGTCAATGTGAACAGATTTCACTGTGTGCAAAAGAGGGTGGCATGTGGGATAGATGGAAGAAATCTTCCCCAAGATTGGTTTGTAATCATGGACCAGAGATACCTGGAGGGCTTTTTAAGATTTCTTGCTGCCATAGTCATCTTTCAATAATAAGCACATGTAAGAAATGTGCTGCTATATTGGCTAATTATTTCCCTGTAGAAAGTCTTAGCCCATTACATAAAGTTTGGGGATTGCCTCTAGAAAAAATGGGAATGGGTCCCCAAGGGTGGCTTTACATTACACAGCTAGAACATGCATCCTTCCTGTACCCAAAGTCTCAAAAGACAGTGAGCAAGGAGCAGCACGCCATTTCCCCTAAACTGCTGTAGAAAGTTCTTCCTGCACACGCGCACACAAACACACACCCGCCTGCCCTCGGAAATACGCTTCAGCTTTCACAGCAGGCCAGTTTTGAAGGCAGCTCTAGTTTGGATGAAACTTCCTTAACCAATTCTTAGTGCCCTGCATGTGAGAAACTTTTTAACGCAAGCAAATAAAATCAAAAGTCGTGTTACAGGGAAACCTCGATTTAACAGACCTCTCATTTAGCGGATTTCAGATGCAACGGACTGAATTTCCATCCAGACATAATGGATAAATCCATTGCATCTGAATTAGTCTGGGTGAGGCCGTTCAATGTACATTATTTTGACCTTAATTTTATGACGTCTTGCATCATGATGTCATGGAACAAAGGATCTTAATGGGCGCAATAACCTACTTTTGCATTTAACAGACTTTTGAAAGTAATGGGAACCCTCTTCCCCCAAACAGTCTGTTAAAAAGAGCTTTCACCATACTTAGATGATTTTCAACATTTTTTGGTTCAGATGAATTGGCTCACTGCAATTCTAAAGCTAGGTGGGAAGGGGTGACAACAAGAAACCTAGGTGTGAGAAATCTTCCCTATTGAATCTCTCTACTTCAAGAATGATTATTGCCCTCTAGAATTGCTAACTCAGAGGCCAAAAAAGTTTAAGCAGGGGTCGTGGCTTAATCCCCTTTGAAAAAATGCCTCCCTCGGTGTGCTGAGAATTAATAACCCCCCTGAAGATAGCGGGACGTCATGTTCTTCATGGACATAGATGACTAATTTTGGTTAGGGAAGGAAAACAGAACGGCTTGAGAAGGGAGGGTTCGATGCAAATGTGAAGTCTTGAAACCAAACTGCAATTCATATCTTCCTCCTAATTCTGTCTTCCAGTCCAGCCGGGATTAGCTGAGGCTACCATGAGGTTAATAACATCTTGCACATTGCTACTGATTGTGGTCTGGATTTTTTTTTTCCCCTCTCCCCGCCGGGGAAGAAACATACATGCTCTGTTATGGCTTTTCTCCTTTTTCTTCTTCTCCCCCAGGTCAAACAAGCGCTGGGCTTAAAAAGCCTGTTTCTCAGAAATCCAAAGCAAGTCTCTCTCGACAGCCATGTTGCTGGTCAGCTCAACCGCAAACATTCCTTTAGCAGTCACATTTTACGGCGGACCGCCAGTGCGCCAACCAAGAGCTTGAAAAAGCCCAAGATTGCAATCGACACCAGAGACAGCAGCTCTGAAGGGGCCAGCAAAGACCCCGCCCTCGAAGACTCCTCCCATCCTCGTTTTGACCAAGAGTCTGAATGCCCGTCCCCCACGCCATCTGTTCCCAGAGAGGATGTCAGCAAGGAAGTGGACAGCAAGGGATCAAAAGGTAAGGCTCACAGTTTGGGCAGAGATAGGAGCGGCCACAGCCAGAGGCTCAGGGAAGCCACCTTCAGCGAGCCCATCCGGAGATCCAGCCGGGTCTGCCTCCAGGAGCCACCCAGTGAGAAGCAGGGCCTCTTCGCCCGCTGTGCCAACAACGGATCGGGTAGGACTGGCGTGGCCACCTACTGCATGAAGTGCATGATCGGCTCTAATGAGAGCCCTGACATGGAGTGCGAGTGGAGTGACCCCAGCGCTGGCCAGCCCGCCTCTGGTGATGCTCCACACTGCAGTTGCTGTGGCAGCCTTGCGGGAGAGGAGAGGGTAGAACTCAAACATTGGGGGATCCAAGAACAGCCCAGGGCCCGGTCAGATCTGCACCTATGCACCAGCTACGGGGCTGCCAGTAGCCTGCCCAGAACCTGCCAGCCCTTTGGGACCTCAGGGAAGAAAAACGGGGACTCGAAGTGTCTCGGGGTCAAAGACCATTCCTGGCGTAGATGGCACACTCAGCCTGGTGGCAAATACAGAAGCACCGTCAACCTGGTGGGCTCCAACAACGGGTCCGTGTCCTCCAGCTCCAGCAGCTTAGAGAGCCTCGGAAGCCCTGATTTCCCCAAATGCTGGCCAGAGAGCTCCCGAAAACAGGCGGGCACCCTTCAGAGGGAAATGAATGCCTTGTTTGCTGAAAAATTGGAGGAAATTCGGAGTAAATCCCCTATATTCTTTACTGGTAAGATCAGATCTTCTTCACCCAACCGTACACTGCCGACTGTGTTGTGGCTTCCCCCTAGAAACTTCCATGTTCCTTGTTCGCTGGTTGGCCACTTTAATTTCCCCCTTGATCGGTGGGGGTCCAGGCATGCTATCGAAGCGTTTCTCCATCGTTTCATTCCGCCGGGGGCTTTATCTTAGAGAAACAGTGATTTCCCCTGCATGCTGAACCACCTCCTGTAGCAAAACCGTTTGGAGACCTTGCTGTGATGTGCCTTGGCGCATTCCATTAAATAATGCTTAGCTGTGATCCTAAGAGCCGTTTCTAATCCAACCAGAAGTGCTACATCAAGGAAAGGGAAAATTAACCTGTCATTGGCATTGCCCCTAGTCCCTTGGGTTGTTTATTACATAAATAGGGTGTTATTATATAAATAAATGGCTTTCTTTTGGTTAGCAGTCCATCCTAGCTAATCTGGGATAATATTAACAGTGCCACCCAAGCCATCAGTTTTAGCTAAGGAATGACCCCACCGAAGCCAACACCGAGTGAGGGCAGCCCTTGGCTCTTCTCCTTGTTCTCGGAGTAACTTAACCCAGATTCTTTTTGTAGCTGCCCAAAGGGCCCATGAAAATCATGGCTTCTTTCAGCTCAGGCCCCGTGCACAGTATTTCACCTGTTTTAACGGCCTCCGGAGTGGAGCTGTCCAAATACGGAGTGCTGCCTGCCAGTTGCGTACTAAATCCCACCGTTCCAATAAACCTATTTCCAGGAAAGTGCACGTAGGGTTTTTTTTTACTTAGCTGAAAATAGCCGTAATAGATTCCCATGAGATTTCTGACTGAATGGAAATAGGCTTCTGTCGTCTTTGCCTTCTTATCCCTACGCTGAATGTCGGACAGTTGTCTGGAACTAGAAGGATGTCTTACTCCCCTCGTGGCCCATCCCCGATAGCAATTTTTTTGTAGTTTGTATTAAAGCTGGGATCATCTACTCATCGGGGTTTCATAATTCTATTAGATTTACCATCTATGTTGTTATCCGTAATCTTGGCCTCATGGACAAACCCACTCCCCAGCCCTACCCTTGAATCTCTTCTGGTTGGTCAAAAGCGAATTCTCAGGATCAGCATGTTTAGATAATCTCATCTCCTTGCTTCCTTTTACTAATTTATTCCCTGTCTGTTCCAGCCTTTCCTGAACTAACTGGGTTTTTTTTTTCCTTTCCTCTCTCTCGTCCTATTCCACATGCCCTCTCTTATCATATAGTTAAGAACTGAAAGGATGATCAAGTTCCAGGTAACTGATGACCTTTGCTGTTTACTTCTTTCATGGTTTTATTTTTCTTCTTTCTCACACTTATCTATGGTTTCTCCTTTCCTGCCTCGCACGGTTGTCTGAAACATTTCCTGCATGTTTTTCATTGCCTTGGGGGGTCTTTGGGGAAGGAGCAGCAGTCTCCCACCATGTCCACTAGACTTATTTCATGCAATTTTAGCTTTCTCAAGGTGGGTGCCTCCAAGGATGTTGGCTGTGTCTCCAGAGAATTCTGGGAGTTCTGTGGAGGTGGCCACACCGAGCAAACCCATGCTAGGTTATAGTAAGGTATCAAGAGTTGTTCTTTGTGAGGTGGCCATAATTCACCTTGAGAAGATATGTTGTGGCATGGAGGCAATGCTGGTTGCTTTGGGGAGAGGGGGAGATGAAGATATTTCCCTTGTTGAGATGCGTTGTGTCCCTTCGACTGTTTCCTCTGGTGTGTCTAATTATCGGAAGAAACTTCTATGCACACAGAACACTGGAAGAGATAGCCAGAATGACATTGAGTGTGGCAGGAGTTTTGTTTTTTTATGACGCAGAGCATTTGTTGCCTCATAAAGTAACGTTGTCCTGGCAAAGCCTCCTTTTGAAACTTTGCACAGCCCGAACGAAAATGGAAATTCCCAGGGTTCTTGTTTTTCTGCAGCATGCCTCTTTGCATATGAATGTTTGGTGCACACACGTGGATACTTGTGTGCAGCTGTCCTTTGTGTCAGATTTCTGCAAAGTAATAATGTAAATGGAGATATGGTGTCAGCCCACAAAGGTAGACCAAATGTGGAAACCGAAGACACACAAGCTCATACTACTTTTATTATAAGGTTATAGTAACAGAATCTTGCAAGTCTGAATGCACCTCCCTCCCTTTATCATCATGGGAACTAGAGAGGGTCTTGTCTGAGACGTTTTCTCTGGTTACTTTCTGCCCCAGACTCAGATTTCTTTTATCTGACCATTGTCTTGATTGAGGCTCTTCCTTCTGTTCCTCAAGAAGGCTCTTCCTTCTGTTCCTTCTTCCCGTTACATATGGGTTATATCCTTTTTACCTGGGAGAGAGTTCAGGATGTTCATCTTTTGATCTCATCTGGAAAGGGATAAGTCAGGTCCATGGTTGCTCACCTGCCACCAGGTTTGACGGTGCTTGTCAGCTGATTAGGGAAGAAGCCTTCTGTTTTGATGCTTCACTGACTTCCTCTTGCTTATGGCAATGCAGAAACAGATGCTGCAGACATCCAGTGCTTCACAAGCCTTCCCTCTTTCAGTTATCCTTTAAAGCAAAGGGCCACAACATTGGGCCTTCCCCTGTTGCTGAATTGCAACTCCCAGCAGCCCTTGCCCTAGGGCACACAAAAGCAGGGGCTGCTAAGAGTTGGGGCCCATCGATATTGGTGGGATTGCCATTTCCTTCCCTCTGTCTTGCATCCCTCAATTCGGAGGGTTTTATGTAGGTGGGAGATGGCTCTGGACCATTTTCATTACAGGGCGGTAATTTGAAGAGGTTAGGGGAGAGGTTGAAGACATCATGTCACTGGGATTCTCTGGGGATCAGATTTAGTTGGACTGTATGTCCGCATCTCCTCCAGAGCATGGCTGCTGAGTCATCGCTTCTGAGTCAGAAGATGGTGTTGGTTGCAAAATCCAGTCTGCTGAGCTCTTGGCAGGGCTGGGATGACCAGGTCAGTGTGCCTTGTAGCATCCCTTTTCTACATCAACCACTGCAACAGAGGCCAGAAGAGGGTGGCCTCCCTCTTTGTTAAACTTTGCCAGAAGGAAATTAAAAGAAAACAAGAACTGTAGTGGCCTGATCAGGGTCAGTGACAGAACAGAGGGGGTGGGATGTGAGGGGGATTCATCCATCCTCACCTCCTTCTGGCCCTTTTTCACCTCCTCCTGGATGGGTACAGGAGGTACAAAGTATCAAGGAGACAGTGTGCTTAGAAAGATCCAATTTTTATGGGGGCTGTCAAGCTCTCTATCACTTCTTGGAAGGGAAAAGGGTCACTTAATCCTAAGGTGATTGTATGACACCACTGGGCAGGGTTGAGCACAAATCCCTCCAGGGCCTTCTCAAGCTAGAAGTAACCATTTCCAGATATCTTCTAACTCAGGTAGGTGTAAGACAGTTTGGATGGTGATTGTTCCTGCGCAACTGCTCCCCAAAGCCTCCCGACAGAGGAAGAGATGAATATACACAACTCTTCCCCACCCACTTCTCCTCCATGTGGGAAGGAGTGGGAAACTTCTCCAGTTTTCATCTCCATCACATAAGATTATCCAGTTGATTTTTCACCTTTGACCTGGGAAACCAACCAGGAGTCACTATGTCTCTGAGGATGAATTTCATGATCTGCCCATTTGGGTGCTGTGGCAAGATACAGCTGTGTGCAGTTGCTTCTACTTCCACATATTGAGGTGGTTGGGAAGGACAAGTGTTACTCAAACTAGGCCACTATTTTCAACTTGTAACTCAGAGATGCTGGAATGGGACAGCAAAGTACAAGATGTGCTTTTACAAAATGGGCACCAGGTAGGCAAGACATCTCTTTGAGAACTTCTTTGGCACTTACTCATTCGTGGATTTCTTTTCCTTCTCCCTCCAGATGTCCGCCAATTCTCAATGCATAGGTCGGTCCCTTCCTTAAGCAGCCTGCAGACCATCAACGAGGAGCCCTTTGTTGCCAATGAGAATCAACCTTCCGGTTTTTGCTTTCCTCTGTCCACCAAACTTGTCAATGATCCCAAAGAAGAATCTGTGCCTGATCATTCCCAGAAAGCTCTTTCAGATGGAAGGGACCAGTCTAGGCAGCTTGAGAGTCCTCCTCTTTTGCAGCATGCAGTTTTGGAGAAGATTCCCCTTGCTCCTAGTGTCTTGGAAGAGGAAGAAGCGATGGAAAGCAGCCGAGAAGGAGGGGGCTGGAAAAGAGCTCCTGGCAATGGAGGTTCTCTCCATTCACAAGTTCAGCACAATCTAGCATTAGGCAACTGTTGGCTCCATCCGGCTGGAAATGCCCAGAAGCAGACAGATAGAATGGTTCAACAGCTGACAGGTGCTGAGAAGAACACAGTTGGGCAGCCACACCAAAGCAAAAGGGAAAACAGCATCACACCACCTCCACTTCACAAAGTAACCGGAGTTATCACAGTCCCCATGCCTCAGATTGTAGTGAGGAGATCAAAGAATGAAGGATATAAATCGTGTGACCACATGGTCTTGATGAAGCATCCTGATAACTTTTCTCCTGTGCCTGAAGTGTCCTGGAATGCCACGGTCAATGACCGGATCTGGAGCAAGCTTGATTTCACCACTCACAGGGACAGCATGTCCTCCTCTTCTAGCATGTCCTCCAATGATACCGTTATAGATCTCTCCTTGCCCAACCTTGCCCGGAAAAGCCTCCCCGACCTTGGTGCTCAGCATAAGACTTTTGAAGTCATCCCTGAGAGAAGGGTTGTGAGGCCATGGTCTGCTAATGCTGCATCTGGACGTGAAATCCCCATGGTGTCCAAGAGCAAATCCAACCCCAACTTGAGGTTAGATCAACCCATGGAAGATGACCTGCACCCTAGGCCGCTTGCCAGGGGTCTTGAGCTAGGATTATCATCTGTATCAAGAAGACACACCTGGAACCGGTTATATGTGGAGAGCCTCAAGCAGTCTTGCCTGAAGTTGGAAGAGCAGGAGAACCCCGAGTCCAACCACACTAAGTCAAAAAGCCTTGGTGATCTTACCTCAGATGACATCACGTGCAATACAGAGAGCAAGTACCGGAGCATCAGCCGGAGCTTTGCCACCCGCTCAATGAGGGAGCAGCGCCACCGTGGAGCCATCAGGACTTCGGTGAGATCTCCTGACGAGCTGACGGAGCGCCTAAAGAAGCTCACTTTCTTCCAGCAGGAGAACGACATCACTTCCCCCACTCGTCTTGACCCTGTGGAGTCTGAAGAAGAAGAGGAAGGGGCGGTCCTGTTCCGAAGGTCCTCGTCTCGGAGCCAGAGCAGGGTGAGGTACATTGCCAACCGGGCCAAGCAAGCTCAAGAAAGGCAGAAGCTAAAAAGTTTGGCCTTGAGCAAGGGGAACCCCATTGAGGAACGGGGGATCCCTGAAGGAGCCTGCTGCTTTCCAGGGGGGGCTGACGTGGACCTGGCTTCCCCTGGCTTGTTTACATCCCAACTCAAGAACCAAACTGACTTGAACCCTGACCCCGAAGTCGTCTTTATGTTCAAACTCTAACGCTGGGAAGGGCTGAACAAGAATCGATGTTTACATTTCTGTCGGAGCAAAACCAACACTCCCTTCCCTCATTTTCTTTATTAAAACAAAAAGCATAGTGCAGAAAGCCCTCGTTCAATGAGGGAGGGCACTTCCTCCTCCTCCTCCTCCAAGGGACAATTTTATGTTTGTGAAAAACAATAATATTAATAACAATAATAATAATAATGCAGTCTGTAGCATGTGTTATGGGGAGTGGGCAACTGAATTTTCCCAGGGTGGGAACAGATCCTGAGAAGATTTCTCCCCCTCCACGTTCCCTGGAAAGCATGTCCAAGGATTTGCACGATTGTCCGTTTCCTCCTCCTTCCTTGCCTGCTTTCCTCAGTCCTGGGAAAACAAATACCTAAGACAGTGTTTCTCAACCTCAGCAACTTTAAGATGCATGGACTTCAACTCCCAGAATTCCCCAGC